GGGCCGGCCCGGGCCCGGCGGCCCCTCCGCCGCCCACGCCGCCATCGCCGCCATCCGCCGCGCGCACAGCATGGACACGCGACTTCCGCTTCCGGCGGGAGGACACCACCGGGCGCGGGCAGAGCACGTGCGGGGCGTGGCAGGGAGGGGGCGTGGCCAGGCATGCCGCGGGGCGGGGATAGGGGCGGGGCCTGGTGCGGGGGCGTGGCTGAACGGGGCGGGGTCTGATGCGGGGGCGTGGCGGAAACGGGGCGGATCCAGAGGCGGGGGCGTGGCTGAAAAGGGGCGGGGCCGCTGCGGAAAGGGGGCGGGTCCAGAGGCGGGGGCGTGGCCAGGGGCCGCGCGGCGCGGCGCGGCGGGACGGGCAGTGCCCGGTGCGTGGGGCCGGGCCGGGCAGCCCGCAGGCCGAGCCCGGGGCCGCCCCGCAGCCGGAGCCGCCCCCGCCTCCCCAGCGGGGCCCCGGCCCGGCGCTGCTGTCCCAGTGACACCAGGACCGCGGCAGCCCCGCCTGCCTCCCCACCCCCTGACCCCGAGGAAGGAGCAGCAGCGCACGATGTTTAAATAAGCATTTAATTAGGATTCCATTAGTAGTAATATTGCTTTCAATTAATTCAAAAAAAAAAAAAAAGTTAATTTCCACTTCTTTGCAGATATTTCAAAGTACAATATTAACTTCATACAAAATGAGCAATTAAGCAAACACCATTATTTCACATTTTACATTCTTCAAAAAAATACAAATTCATATTTACTCTTTTGTTTGGGGTTTGGAGATGCTCTTCCTTTGGAAGTACTGTATCTGTACCTAACATCTTCACATTGCTCAATGTAAGCACATTTGTTCCCATGTTTCATAGTTAAATAAACTCCTTTAAGCCCACACACACATTCTGGAAAACCCACGGCTTGGTTTTTTTTCCTCTGTCATCTCCAAGAGCGGCCGCCCTCTGTTGTCCCCAGGCCCGAGTGGCACCGGGGGGACCCGGGGCCGCCGGCTTCGGCTTCGGACGCGACGGGAAGGACACAAAGCTACACAGCGAGAAATACCAGCTATGGTAACTATGGTTCTGCAAAACAGAGCCTTGATTTCACTGAAAAAGATCATATGAAAAAAATTCCTTGTAAGAAAAAAGTAGAAACGGCTTTTGAGAAAGTGTACACTGCATAACGAACCAAATTTTGGCCAGCTTGCACACCACGAAAAGCATGGTGTGGGATTTTTAAACTAGTTCCAGCAACACACATACTCCGACTATGTACACTATTATATAAATATCCAGTTTAATTTGCATTTCTCAGTGCAGACACAGCATCCAACTTCTAGGACGTATGGGGGCTCTCAAGACAAGAGGCAAAAAATTTCAAAGTTCAGCCCTGTCCATGAGGGTTAACTACAGGTAACGGTTCTAAAAAACTTGACGTTGTTTCCAAAATACGTTCGGGAGGAAAGAGGCTATCACTTAAAAACTACGCAATCCCAAAGTTGCAGGGTTTACTGAAGTCATGCTCTGTTTTTTTGCCTTGCAGTCCCCACCATCTCCCAACAGTTGTGCCCAGCTAGCTCTAAGTGCACAGGACTCTCCAGCCACAGCTCCTGGGGCCTTGCAAAGTGTTCCGGGACCCTTGCAACGCGGCACCCGGGGGTCCCTACAAAGCGGCTGCATCCTCATATCCCCCGTTAAGGAAGGGCTTTCAGCTCCCATCGCCCGCTCCGCTCGCTGCGGGAGGAGCTCCGTAACCAGCTCACCACCCTCACTGCAGTCACAAAACCAGCCCGTGGGGTGGCCTGAGCGGTAAGGCAGGTGAGGGCAGGGAGACGCGCTCGGCAGGACGGAGGGGAGGCGCAAGGCTCCGCGCGCGGGGAAGGGACGCGGAGGTGGGAATGCCGCTGCCACCGGAGCCGCTTCCATCGCGAGGGACAAGCAGCTCCGTAGAAAGCGAGAGAGACAGGCCGGCTAAAGCACAGTGCTCTCAGCGGAGTATTTGCATAGATTGGACATTTGCTAACGATGCATAATTTCTCCTGGGTACAGACAGGGTAGGACAATGTCACTGAGCTAGTTACTATACATATATTTATATTCAGTTAGACACAGACAGACCGACCACAATGATCTTTAGCTACAAGTATTGCACCAAGTTAAGTGCTCATCTTCGCACACCCCTGCTAACTTTTCCTCAGAGCAAAAATAAACTTTGTGAAAGTATATACAAAAGAAATTGCAGCAATTGGGTTAAAGATAAAATAACCTAAAGTGCATTTTAGATACCAGTATGAGGTTCTGCAAACTAGTCTTTCTGGACACATGCAGCATTACACAAAGTGCCCAATTCGTACTTTGTTCTATATTATTCAGTACCAGCATTTAAACAGGGCTGATTTTCCATCCCTCTCCCATGTACGAGCAACAAAAGCGACTTCTCCAGCCTGGGGCTGCGGGGTCACTGCTCAGCCACTAGAGCTATTGACGTTGGTAATTAGCTCCATTCTACGTGTTTATTGTCAATGCATTAAATGCCGGGGTGCAGAGGATGGATGAGAGCTCCCTGGCGCTGCACCAGCCCAGCACTTCAGTAGCTGCCCTTCCCCAGCAGCTGCTCGCAGCCCTCCCTCCATCGCAGCGCAGCGGTGACGACCCCAGCAGCACAAGTTCTGCTCCCACAGGGCCAGGGGCGATGCAAACAGCCACCGAGAGACGCAGCAGATCCACGCAGCACCGAATCCGCGCGGCAGAGGCTCCCTGCAAAGCCAGGGACACAGGGCATCCGCGGGATACTCGGCTTTTCCTAGCACACAATGGGGAAAACAGCAGCGAGGTCGAGCGCCGGCGCCCACCCGCGCAGCATCTCCCTGCGGTCGGCACCTCCGCGCCAAGCAGGTCTCTCACCTCAAAGCTTTTGCTCATTCCCTCTGCTCACCTCTATCCTAAGGGGGCTTCTGAGGATGCCCTCGGCCGAGCACAAGCACGTTCCAGGTGGGCTCAATTCACTCGGGAGCACAGGGGCCCTTGCGGCCGTTGGGAGGCCAGGCCACGAGCAGCGGCCCCTTTCCCACACCAAACACACACCTCACCAACCAGTGCTGAGCAAACCAGAGCGAAGCAAAAGCCCCAGCAACCACCGCTCGGGAACTGCCATTACAAGAGCAAACCACAAAATGCTTCGTTAATCCCCATTACGTGGATGCAAGCCTAACAGGCTGCCCTGTCGTAGGGTGACTGGCCACCCAGGTGCACCCTTTACGTGGCCCCTCCTGCCTCACACTCACCCTAGGGACACACTTTTGCCCTTCCACATTTAACAAGAGGCAGCAAGTTGTCAGCGAGGTGAAAAAAACAGGTCCCTTCTGCCCATTTCCACCCGTTTTCGCAGCAGTTACTTGCAAGGGAATAGAGAGCCGGCTTAAGCCCCAGCCTGGCCTGGGACAGCAGTGTGGGCAGGCAGGCTTTAAACGAGAGAGTTTAAAGCCTACCAGTGCTCAGGTGCACGCGCAGGATTCCTACCCCACAGAGCAGGGAGCAGCTCCGAGCAGACCCGAACAGAAGGCAGGGCGACCGCCGTCCTCCCGGTGTCTGTCCTCCTACAGTTAGTGGGTAGAGGCACAGCACAAACTGCCTTACAGCCGTCGTCTTTGCATCTCGCTAATGACAACACTGTAAACTCAATAAAGACTATTTAATATCCTTTAACACAAAAAGGCTGACAGCCCAAGCCAGACAGATGGATAAAACACTATAAAATTACATCTTTTAAAATAATGCAGCATAAATAAGCCATTTAGAATGAGACTGCATTTATTGCAACATTACAGGCTTTTTGGTGGAGGGGGGGGTGTTTTATTTACCCTGAGTAGGTTAGAATATAGACTTTCAGTTTGATATGAAAAACTACTATGTCGTGTAACATCTTTTAGTCAAGAAATAGCCCCATGCACAAAAAGCTGGCATTGCAGTAGGTTGGAGGCAGATTCAGGCAGAAACTAAAGAGCTTAACAGAAAAGAGGAAGCGTTCCCAGACAGCTAAAGGATCAATTCGCTAAATGCAAACTAAATGCGTGTTGAATCGTTCCTAAAGGGTTCCTAGAACTCTTGACAAAAGATGAGAGTAACCAGCAAAGGCACCATGCTCCTGATTAAACAGTCGGGATTTGTTTTTTTGTTTTTTAAAAAAAGAGGATGACTTCTTTCTGAACAGAGCCAAATGAGTCAAAAGAGCAGCAGGCACCGAGCTGACTACGTGGGGAGCTCGCCGGGTGCTTGAGAGGCCAAGAAAACAGACTCTGCAGCCTGCACGAGCAGGGGCTCCCACTGTGTTTCTGTACTGTGAAGCAGTGTCTGCCACCACTCTTTGAAAGTCCTAATGAAAGTAAATGAGCAGATCTACGAGGAGCACAAGTGTTCCGTGCTCCACCACAGCAAACTCCCCAAGAGCTTCTGTTGGCTTTAGCAATAGTGTTAGTACACCCAGGCACCACCTCGCAGGGACAGGAGGACCACGCTCGACAGCGAAGCCGAAGTCAGAACATTTTTGAGTGTAAGACCATCTTCTGCTACAGCAAACTCCTCTCCTGGGCTCCCCTTATACTGCACGGTTAATATCACACATAAGAGACATAAGAAAATTATAGACCTAAGGAGCTGTAACAAAGACCCACACACTGCCAGTACCTTAATCCCAAACATAAGTGATGTGCAATTGGAGACAAACTAACCCCCCTTTTTCTCTTTAAAATCTGTTTGCACATGAGTAACCTTAACTTCTGTGTTCACATATGACAAGCAAAAGTGACAGACAGTGCAGCCAAAACAGTTCATATATAACTTAGCTTTTTTTTTTTTTTTTTTTTGCCTTTTTTTTTTTTTAAAGATAGATTCAAAGATGGGTGTACCTGGGATGTGACTAAGATGACATCAGAGAAGCAGAAATAAGCCACAAAACTTCCCAATTGGAAGGAAAAAACAAACAAACAGAAGAAATCCTTCAGTTTCTGCTTCTAAGGAGGAGGGCTCTACCCGCCCGGTGCAAAGGACAATCTGGAACATCTTCATTTAGAGAAGTTGCTATTCAAACCAATTTCTTCCTCACCCTGCAGTAGTGCTTCAATAGGAATTATATTAGGGGGAGTTTCAGGGCTTTGGAGGGACAGGAAGTCTGATACATCCATGGCACTTAATGTTTCAGTCTGCGAGTCTGAAGGGTTAACTATCTGACTGCTCTGCCCACATGAAGGAGAACGGGAGGAGGAAGGAAAGGTCTGAGGCTGCAGCTGAGGAGCTGTTTGCTCAGGTGAGGAACATTCCTTCTTACTGGTGGCTTTGTCCTTGGCAGAGTCGCGGCAGGCACACTGGCACTGGCAGGCCTCCTCCTGCTTTATAATGATGACAGGAACACTGAGACCGATTTGTTGAACGGGAGTTCCTAGAGGGGAAACAAAGACAAAACACATAAGAATCCATAACTTCATATCAGGGAAAGACAAATCATATTTGTTATAGCAGATTGTATGCGCCTTGCAGCAGAGATCATACATTATTTTAAGCATAACATATACACTTCTCATTTACATTTTCCTGTTCATTTTCTCTGCTCTGCTTTCATAACTTCTCGCTCTTACTGTGCTGCTTTTCTTATCAGGTCTTTTTTCCTTTTAACAGTTTAAGTCTTACACTTCGGTGTCCTCCTTTGGCTACAATTAATTTTTATTTGCTATATGTTCTTCTATGTAGGAAGTTCGTTACGGAACAGAATTTCTACAGCTGTACATTTAGATGATTCTCCCCAATACTGCTTACAAAAAACTGTTATTAAATCGCTGATTAAAATGTAAGTTTAATAGCAGTCTCATTCTTTTAAGTCAAGATGCAAATGACAAATTATATCCTTTAACTCTGCCTTCTAATCTTACATATACATTCCACTAAAGAACCATTTTTATAAAATACTGATTTTTACAAATACTGGGTCTAACTTGTGAACTTGGTTATATTAAAAAGGGAAAAACTACTATAGGGCACAATCTCAGGAATACTAAAAAACACCTACACGTTTCTTCAACATTTCCTCCAACAATTACACAACACAAACCCTGTTCAAGCTATCAGCGCTGCAAACAACAAGAGTGGGAAACAGCTGAGTATCAAACATGCTTACCTGTGTTGCCAGTTACTGGTAACGCAGTGGTAAAAAAAACCTTTTCTACTACTTTTGGAACTTGTGGCTTTAAAAAAGAAAAGAAAACGAGAAAAAAAGAAAAAAAATCCATGTGAGTCAATTCAAATCAAATCTCTACTCAAATTCTAAACAGTTGTAAGCAACAGAAAGTTAAACACACACACGCTGCAAAAACAGCAGACGGGAAAACTAAGAGAAAACTGCAGCATTTGTTTTGGTTCTGGACTATCTTATGTTCTGGCTACCTCCAAACTAAGACTACTCTTTCAGCAGTCCTAGAAGATGGTGAGTGATCTCCCTCTCCTGTAGCCTTGTTAAAACAGCTTGTGTCTGTAAATTGTCTGACTTAATTAAAAATAATAAACTGTTTTTCTTGCTCATGCTGTTCGCACCTCCAGCCATTCCTTCTCGGCCATTTACAAGTGAGAAAACCTAAGGGAAGCAAGCTGAGAGATAAAACACCTTAGGTCTCCTCTATTCCCCTTCACTGGAGAAGCAGGCATATCCTGTCTTCTCAGGAAACCTTCCATTATCTGTATCAGGCTACTTCTATTTACAAGGCAACAAGGTTAAATTAGGAAGAGACAGAGATTACAGAATGTCCAAACACTGAAACTTTACAGATATTTTTGTGTTTCTACTTGTAAAAATGATTTAAAATATATATATATATATTTATAATCAGGCCATATGGTGCAGTGTCCTGAACAAACCAAAGTGGCACCTGCTATGAAAAGTTTGTCACTGGGGGAAAGAAAAAACCAAGATTTTGCTGCACTCTGGATTTCTTTATCTTCTATGGGCTGCATTTTGACTTGCTTACACAGATTTCTGTGCTAAGCACTATATAATCCTGAAGCAGACACACACTGGTTTCTCTCTTACACCTCCAGGTCTGATCCTTCTTTCCAAGAGCAAAGCCTTTAGATTCCAGGAGGAACAGGGATGGTCTCAGCTGCTTCCCAGCAGGGCTAGATATACTAACCATTTGTTCTTGGCTTTGTGGAGAGCCAGTGGCACCATTTAAAATCCATTGCAAGTTTTGCTCTCCCATGACAATGCTGGACTGCAGGATAGCGGTGCTCTGAGAAGGAGTAATTGTTATAGTTGGATTACTGGTCAGCAGAGAGTTCGCACCAACAGGCACAGTCTGAACTACAGCTGGCAGGGGCTCAGGGGCACTTAATGCTGTTGGGGCAGGCGTCCCTGCAACCACTGAAAGCCCTTGGACCAGGGGCTGCGGCGGTGTCCGAGTGTGCTGCAGAAAGTCGGGGTGACCGGCTGCAAACTGTGTGCTGTGAGGAACAGGCACTTTGGGAGATTGTAAAACAGTTGCAGAATTGCCAAACGCAGCTTGTTGCGAGCTGGTTCCTATGGAGGAGGGAGCAGCGGGGGCTGCTGAGGCTTGTAGTGCTGAGGGCGACGGCTCAGAGATGCCAAGCTGCAGTACAAGTGGAAGGGACAGAGATGCTGAATCTCCTGCAGGAGGCGGAACAGCAGTGACTGAGTCTGCATCACCATTATAGCCTTCAATGAAGGCAGCTGACAAAACAAGGAAAAAGATATGTATAAATACATCACTCCTAAGGTCTCATTAAAAACCTAGCTAGTTGGCAGATCCCTGCCAAGTAAAGCATTACCATTTTTGCATCTTCAAACTAGTGCTAAAAACACATAAGGCTAGACAAGCAAAATCTAAAAGTAGGTCCAAATTGTGGAAACTGGTAATGCTGAATACTGCACACAAGCTCCTGAGTCCCTTTAAGTCTATGAAACCTTTCAATCACTTCACACAGCTCATACAATTCACGTAGTTATGTCAAGAGAGGAAGTTAAAAAGCAACAGCTAGACAGGAGGACCAAGAGCGTCGGCGTTGGCACGAGTAAGACAGCGCGCTGTGAACACAGGGTCACTTCCAGGGTGCAGGTGGTACCTTGTGAATACAACAAGCTCAGCAGAGCTGAGCGTCTGCTACACAGGCTAAGACACGGCAGCAATCTTCATTCTGAGATGCTGAATTAAGCAAACGCAAAGAGAGGGAGGCAAGGAACTGCCTAAACGTTTTCCTGATACAGTAGCACCAATTAGGATAATAAGATACAATTTGTACCTGTCTGCTGTGAGTCTTCCTGCTTTGTAGCATGACCTGGCCCCTGAAAGACAGACTCAAAGATGCTTGCTGGTGAGATTGTGCTAAGGTCTTGTCCATGTTTCTGGGGGAGAGAGAAGAAATAGGATAGGATCAGATAACACTGTCTCAGGTCTCCACAACCTTTGCACAGATCCCAGGCAGGTAGCACACCAATATCTGAAAGATCTGTCCCATTCACCAGCTACTTTCTGGAAGGGCAACATATTTTATGCATCACCATAAATTCTTAGATAGTAAAAAACAAGAGTAATCTCTATTATAAAATTAACCAACACAGCAAAATCTTACAAAAACAAACATGGCTTTTTAAAGTAGAAGAGTCTTCTACAGCTGTGTTTTGTTCAACCCTTCTTTCTTGCAATTCTTCGTTAGAAACAAAAACATATGTTAATTTGGGCTTGATCATTTGTAAAACTATTTCTGGAGCAGTAACAAAGCAGCTCTGCTTAGATTACATCCCGCACTATGCACTACGGACACCCACACTGCTCTAGGAACAGAATTTGTCAAAAAGCTCTAGACGCTGCCTCCACCCCGAAGCACTAAGCAAGGCCACAGCATAATTTTCCTCCCTGCAAAATTTAAGTTAGCAATAAGCAAGAATATTTTAATGATAAAAATCAGCTGCAGATCCTTAGGAATAGTTTTAAAACACTGCATATTTTGGAGAAAAAGTCCCCCCTCCCTTTTCACTCTGTTAAACTACTTTAAGACTTTGGAGTGATTTTCAACAAAAAGCCAAAGCTCAAAGCTCTGCACTAAAAATGCCAACAAAGTGCAATTATTTTCTCAAGCAGCACTTCAAGTACTTACAAGTTTATTTGTAGCTGTACTTGCAGAAAGAAGCAATCTCATTAAGTAACTCCTGGAGGCTAATCTCTAATAGTCTAATTAAACGGCTGTGCTGCCTATCAATTTATTCTATATAACATGACACAAGACAAGCTTGCCCCGCTCAGTCTGAACATGTGCAAGCTCCCCAGCCAAGCACAAAAACAGCTGGTTACCACCCGCTGCACCTACTGCTCAGCTAGTTCTGATCTGACAACTCCGGACTGCTCACAGGCGCCATCTCTGACTTCCTCGTGATTTTACATAAAAAGAGGTATATGCCTATGCTGCAGAATAATGTAATATATATAATTTATCCCTAGCATTCACTCAAAAACAGGTCATTGTGACCTCAAACATTAGAATGACAGAACTATTTAGAGTAACACTGGCCTCTACCTAATACAAGCTAAACGAGCACGGGCCATACAGAAAGTTAAAGTTGTGCACGCTGCTATTAAGAGTGCAAACCACAAGTATTGTTCAAACATTCAAAAAAAAAAAAAAAAAAAGACAGTAATAATATGGCACATTGGCAGACCAGAAAATTCAAGCATCAAGTACTCAGCTGGGTGTATAAGAAAAAAAATATTTGTCAAGAGATAGTCCTGCAGCCTGTTGAACATGCAAGGAAAAAAATAGTGTTCAGGACATCTAAACCCCTCCAATGCTATGTCTTCTCTACCACCAAATGAAGAGAGAATGCTGGAGGGCAGAAGGGAAAAAGCAGCAACTAGTCACACAGATCTAATTTTCTGTGTTTTCATGGACAGGATAAGCACAGTTAGACAAAAAATAGAGCCCAAATGACAGGCGAGGTAATTAGGATAAACTTACTGGATTAGAGTTCTCCCGCAATTCTGAATCTCTGGATATGAGGCTTAGGTCACTCAGACAAAGCGACTGGCTTGTATCCTGTGAAAAAAAGAAAAAGAAATGAAGTTTATACATATAAATATATATATAAAATAACTTTTTAAAGAGCAATACCACTGGCCATACAATGTAAGCTAAGCTATTCTGTCTAAATACATTTTTAAAACCTACATAGAACAAACTTCAATTCTAAAATCAGTGGAACAATATTATTTAACAAAGGATATTTAGCAGCTATCATGGTTTCTTAACATCTATCTCATTATCTGAAAAATGAATCTACAACTTTCAAACACTACCTGAGCAAGTGAGTCCAAACAGTAATTTTAATGTGATCAAAACAATGCTTAACAATGTTTAAGTATCATGCTGGAAGTCGAATTCCCAAAGAACTGGAACAGTTACAAACCAAATCATTTCTAAGCTGTACTAGAGTCGGGTTGTATCCTCATATGACAAAGAAGCATTAGGAAGAAGAGCTACTAACCTCAGATACATTGTTATTGGGAAGTGCATTATAGGCATGTCCTTTCTCATGACCTTTCATGTGACTCTTGAGACTGTACTGCGTACTGAAAGTCTTCTCACAGCCATTACTGGGACAGAAGAAGGGTTTCTCCCCTAGACAGAGCACAAAATCCAAAGAACAGACTCAGGAACTTTACAAGGTACACACACCTTAAAACATACAAGACAAGGAGGACACTCAATGCAAACAAAGATTGCTTTTTCCCCCAACACAACTCTTATTACCATAAAAAAAGTAAAAATTCAACACAGTTAAGCATATTGTAGCTCTTCTTGCCCTGGAGAAATGTCTAACAGTTGACATGTTGCCTTGCAGCTTTTTGAGTAGCCATATCTAACAGTCTTGAATGTACTGCATCACTTTCTATCACAAGATAAAAAGCCACAGTGCTAAAACCTCTAAAATATCCTTCCTAGGTTACTTTTTCTGTAACTATTCATATATACACTTACATATAAGTTAGTATAAACTGAACAGGCTCAATTGAAGAAAAAAAATCCCCTGGGACTTACCAGTATGTGTCCTAACATGTGTTTTAAGGTGATGGCTTGCAGCAAAAGCCTTTCCACAGCCGTCATGCTCACACCTGAAGGAAGCATCAGAGAAGGATCAGCATCAAACTTTGCTGATGCATTAATTACAACCCTATATTGTGCTTTCCTAGAGCCTTCGGAGGAAGAAATGCAGGCCTGGGGTAATGAAGTATCACCCAAGAGCAACAAGCATGGTCAAATGCTAGCTCAAATGCTAGCCCCCATCAGCCCCCTTTTCTGCCCGTGAGGAGTGCTTTTCACTAAGGAGAGTAGTTATTGTCTTTTAGCACAGGTGTTTCATTACAGAATGACCCACAGAAATAAAAATTGCCATCTGACGACTCACCGAAATGGCTTTTCTCCTGTGTGTGTTCGAATGTGCTTCCTCAAGTCACTGTGCGTTGTGAAGTATTTACTGCAGCCCTCCGATTCACAGTTAAATGTTTTCCCCGTGTGAAGCCTCTGATGTGCTTTCAACCTAAAAAGCATGGCAAAAACCACCCTCTCACCACTTGTAGCCAAAGACAGCCAACAGCTAGGACAAGCAAACCACTCATTCAAACTTGCAGGGCAGGAACAACGGTTTAACATATTCTGAGTACAAGGTTTAACATATTCTTATGAACTTGAATAGTATCACTTCCAAAGTCCTCACAAAAACAAATCTAAAAATTTCTGGTGCTCATCCACCATCTTCAATACTATCATAATATAAATCTGTGTCCAGAGAAAGCATAATATTTGTACCCAGATGCAAACAAGAATGTAGTGTGAAGAACAGCCACGTTACCAGGGGAGATACCAAGAGAATTCCTACCTGTACAGTGTATTGAATGCCTTTTCACAGCCCTGCACATCACATTCAAAGGGCTTTTCCTTAGTGTGCACACGAACGTGGATTTTCAGACTATAGGAGGTAAGAAAGGCTTTGCCACAACCTTCTTGATTGCAAACAAAAGTGTATTCCCCACGATGTGTCTTTTGGTGAGTGCGCAGGTTTCCAGCAGTGCTATATGTGCGTGGGCAGCCCTCAAAGGTGCACTGGTATCTCTTAACCTAGGAGAAAAAAATCTATCATACTGAAAGTCTTGTAAGCATTATTAGACATGGATGAACACCAGTTACACATCAAAGCCAACGTGACAGACTGCGATGCCATAGGCATTAAAAATTAATAATGAATTACCAGACTACTCAGCGGTTCTTCTACACTATGTAAGGAAGAAGGCACCCTTGGGAAAGTAGACAGCTACCTGGCTTACCTTATAAAAGGATGGGAATCTAACAGAAGAAGAGAGAAAAAGGAAAACAACTCAAAATACATGCACCTAACTGGCAAAACAACTCAAAATGCATGCACCTAATTGGCAATCTGACAAAGCAGAGTTGAAAGGGACTTTAAAAGGCTACGTAGCACAACCACTTTCCCCATCTTTAGCACATGCGTTTCACTTCACCCTTGTAGCGGTGCTAATGTATCTGAACAAAAACACGTACGTTCCCAATCTGACCCTGAAAAGCGGTGACCTAAGTGCTGATTTCCTACAGGCACCCTGAACGTGCACTGCAGCTTTCGAGCTCTCCTGCAGTCTAACCACTAGTCCATTTACAATTCAGTTTTATTTCAAAAACAGCTGTTATGTGCTTCGCTCTTCCCTTCTGTGTTCACTTTGCACAGCCTGTTAAGTGCAATGAATAGAGCAAGGTGCGTTAGGTTAAAAGATAAGTGTTACAGATTTCTCAGGCAGCAATCCAGATCATCGGAAAACTGTTTGATACTGAGTTAGATTTGATAACCTTCCACCTCCTGCAACAGGCGAAAGAAATCGTGTAAGAAGCTTCCAGTGTGCAAGTCATAATGCTTAATTAAATCTTGTTCTCTCCTGTGAGGTATAAGGAATAAGCCATCTGATATGGTTGAATAAATTTATCTCCAACATTAATTATTAGACAGACAGCTTGCATTTAACTGCCTCAGCTGGGAAGCCTTAAGATCTAAAAATGATTACAGAGCCCAGGAGAGTGCTGGATGGCTGACAGCACGAACTAGCAGAGCGATTCAAAAGATGCTGATCCAGAAATGTTTGGGAAGATGGTGCAAAGTCACAACTGAGCGGGAAGAACTTGTGTTCTAGTAGCTACTCAAGAAAACAAGGGGTCAGGACACACGTCAGCAACCTTCCTACTTCTCCAAGGTACAACCACCTGCCCCACAGCATTCAGGGCTGCTGCTTAGAAAAGGCTACAGACTATTTTTGAAAACAAACAGATGTGCAACTGTTGGCTGGTATCAGGACTGCGTGAACCTGTACTTAACTAAGGGACATTTATGGTTTCTAGACACTCTGAAGAAGCAGAAACTGCTCCCACTCTATGACTCAATACACATTCTTCTCTTTTTGCTTTACACAACCATCAGACAAAAAAAAAGTCAGTAATTTTTACTGTTACAGCATGGGAACTGAGAATAGAATGACAAGGGGATCCGTGATCTACTGTCAGGTTAAGACTTAAATCACTTTATTGGAAGTGATGCTAGAGTCAGAGTAATTAGAAGCTGTATGAAAGTCATAAACAGAAGTTATCAATACCAGAAAACACACCAAGCTTGGTGTGCTAGTTAAGGAACAAGTACTTTTGTAATCCTTCCAAAGCATAAGTAATATGATTAATGCTTTGTATAATACGGTATAAATAAAAGAAATAACGAGTCTTTGATACAAGCACTGAAACCTGTAAGTGAACTTTAAAGCACATCTATTTCTTGCCCAAGAATCCTCTCCCATTCGTGTATGACCATGACATAAAAAGACAGACAGTTTAAGATACGTGGAACACTTTTTTAATGTTAACATTTGTTGGAACAGTTGAAGATCTCATCAGTGGTGCAAGAAGCAAATAAAGCTACAAACCCTCAGGTTTTGATTTTCAAATAGTCAGTTGAGCAGCCCCCAAGGCTACCAGTTGGGTCATACACATGACCACCATTTCCCTATACACGGAGTACTAGACACAAGACACCCAGAGATATTTCACTGCGTGCTTTGATTTGCAGCACAAGTCACCAGCAGCAGCTTTCATCTTGGCCAGTACTAGATTCAACTCCTGTCGCTTTATATATCCTTTTCCTCCATTTGCACAACACATTGGAAGCAACACTAACCTGCAGAATTGTTAATAAGTGTATACAGATATGTCTGTCACAGTAAGACGCAGAAATACTTTTAAGAAATCACAAGAGGGTTTATTCAACAACAGTCCAAGAGCCTTACTGTCAAAAACAAAGTCCTCTTCTGGAAGAGGGAAGGAGGATGTACTCTACCCTCCACCATAACAGCTATAGATACTCTAAAAAACTCGTTGTGAGATACTAAATCCATTTCTTCCTGCGCTATATTTATTATACCCTCTATTTCTCCTCTTCTATATACACTAGTTACCCAGGGTCTCTTAAGTAGGTAAAGGATCATGTTGTTAGTATGAGAACATGTATGAACATGTGTGCTTAGACTCACGACTTGACAGGCTAGCATGAAGCTCACCAAACAGAGCACATCCTTCCTAAGCCTTCCTCTTCCTCCTCATACCCAATGCTTGCTAAAAAGTATATAAATTCCCTCAGAGTTGCTACACCCGTGGTCAAAAAGTAACAGGGGTGATTTCCCCACACCAAAACCAGATATTAATGTTGGCACCTAGTTCTCGCTTTAGGTCAGCTAAAGCTACTAGCAAGAATATCCTAGCAATACACATATTTTGTGGAGTAATTCCGGAAAATTAACAACACACTAGCCTTTAAAACCAGAAAACACTTCACAAGAATAAAGATTCAAAGTACTTAAGGTGATTAGGCAAAAGATTCCGTACCGGGCATAAAACCTCAGAATTAAATGTATCTACTTACTTCTTTAAGCTTGGTTTCCGGGCATTCAGACTGTAAAGTGAGTGTAGCGCCTTCGATATTTCTTGGCATAGGAGTGGAACCAGGATTTATCGTTAGGTGAATCTGATCCGGAGAAATGATGTGTTGCACGTAACCCTGGGACATTCCTTCATGGTCCGCTATTAAGGGGAACCCTTCCTCGTGGCCCTCGGGCAGGAAGGGCAGGTGCTCCCCGCACTGCCCTTCCTCCTCGTCGTCCTCCAGCGGGCCGTGGTCCTGCTCGATGAGCACGGTGGTCCTGTCGTAGACCGTGCCGGCGGCGGGCGGCAGCAGCCCGTTGCTGTCGCCGAAGCGCAGCAGGCCGCCGCCGCCGCGGCCCAGCTCATCCTCCTCCGCCTCGTAGTAGGCGGCGCTGCCCTCGGGGCTGGTCTCGCCCATCTCGCCGCCGCTCAGTGCGAGGCCGCGGCGCCGCGCGCGCTCAGCCCATCTGCAACACAGGGAGCGCGGCGGGATCAGCGGCGGGGACGGCGCGGCGGGG